AAACCTGGTTATGAAATGTGGCTTAAAGGCCTATCTTTATCACAGGGGCCTCTCCTTTGCCACATCAGCCCTGCCAAGAGGAGTAACAACAGTATTTCCCCAAAGCTGGAACCAGAGCCCTCATCTCTAAAGAAATTTAACCACCTGCCTGGAGACAGTGTGGAATCAAGATAAGGGTAGCAATAACTCCTTCTGGTTGGCCCCTCTTGCCTCTCTGCTAAATGTGAAGCAACTTATACCAAGCACCTGTAGAGAGTGCCCTCTTTTGCAAAGGGCAGATCCTTTGGATAAACAGACCTGCATGATGGCAGAGCATGTATGCCCACTTCCTATTTCTAACTATCAATCAATCTAATTCTTTTACTGTGATTATGAATAAAGAACCAAGGATTACCCAATATTCAGAAATGCCTAACTGCACCAAGATGTACAAATGCTATAAATGATATCATAGGAAAAATAAACCAAAACAGACCTCTGATACACATGCTCAGAGAAATTCAAACACACCTTGCATCCATTAAAAAACTTTTACTTTTAAAAGTTTTTTAATGGATGCTTTTAAAAAGGAGTAGAAAACAAACATTTTTTTTTAAATTAAATATATAATTGATAACATAAAAATTAGAAAGGGCAGGATTAGGGTTGTGGCTCAGTGGTAGAGCACTTCCTAGCACACATGAGGCACTGGGTTCAATCCTCAGCAACACGTAAAAATAAAAAAATAAGGTATATTTTTTTTAAAAAAAGGTTTAGTTTAAAAAATTAGAAAGAATAAAAGGAAAGGTCAAGGAACTCTAGCTAAAAAGCTGAAAAAGATAAAGTTAAGGGATAAAGATAATAATCCATTATCAAATAATAGTTCCAGAAAGAAAGAATAGGGAGAAAGAAAAGAAGAACAGTGAGATAAAATATTATAAAAATAAATCACAAAAGAAAACTCTCAAAGCTGAAAGCCACCAAGCCATCAATTGTCCAACTGGACTGAACGATCTCATTAAGAGTCCAAAATAAAATTTAAAAGACCTACATCCACATATATCCTCAATACATTTAGAAAAGCAACTATAAACACTTCCAGAGAGAAAATACAAACAAATGAGAATAGATTTGGTATTAAACTCTTCATCAATGGCATCTGATGTGTCATGAGACAAAAGCCCCAAAGACTTTAAAATTCTGAGGGAAGTGAACTATTACTCAGCCTTAAAAAGGCAGGCCCTCTGGCATATGTTGAACCATGCATCATCATGCCAACTGAAGTAAACCAGCACAAAAGGACAAACGCTGCCCAAGTCCCATTATATTAGATTCCTAGAGTCCTCAAAGTCGTAGGCACAGCAGAATGATGGCTGCCAGAAGCTGGGGACACAGGGAAAGGGGAGTTAGTGTTTAATGAGTACTAAGTTTCAGTTTGGGTAGATGAAAAAGATCTGGAAATAAATGGGAGTCATGATTACCTCCATGTGAATATACTTAATGTTAACTGAAATGATTTCAAGTGACAAATGGTTAAAATGATAAATTTATGCTACATAAATTTTACCACATTAAAAAAAATAAAATAGGTATAGGGATGCCAGGCATGATGGTTTATACCTATAATCCCAGCAACTCAAGAGGCTGAGGCAGAAGATCACAAGGCCAGTCTCAGCAACTTATTCAGGCCCTAAGCAACTTAGCAAGACCCTGTCTCAAAATAAAAATGAAAAGGACTGGGGATGTGACTCCATGGTAAAGCAACCTTAGGTTTAATCCTCATATATTAAAAAAAAAAAAAAATGGCCAGGCAGTGTACTATAGCTCAGTGGTAGGGCATATGCTTAGCATGAGCAAGGCCTACCTAGGTTCAATCCCCAGCACCAAGAAATAAATAAAAATTAAAAAAAAAAAAAAAACTAATGAAATTGATAATTTTGTCCAAATAGATATTTTGCCTGATAGGTTGGGAAATAGGAGTAATATGCCCTTTGGCTGACTTTAAATTTGTGGACAACTTAGAAGATCCATTAAAAGCTAGAAGAAATTAAAAAATTAAAATAAAAAATAAGAATTAAGAAAGAAATTTTTGAGGGAAATTGATTTTGGATCTAGAACTCAGCACTCAAACATAAGAACAGAATAAGGTCATTTTCAACAAAGGTTTATTTCTCATATTTCTATCTAGTAAATCTTCAGTACATTTGACTAGAATTAAATGCATTTAATTTCATCAAGAAATTTTTAAATTACTTCATTTTACATATGATTTTGGAGTTTAAGATGGGCAATTTTAATGTTATCCACTTACCCAGATAAGAAAATAACTAACTCACTTTTACTTTTCTATTTTAAAACACTTAATTTTAAGTAACTCCCAACAACCTTTGGAGGGGCTCTTGAGACACAAATAAGACACGTTGAGAGCTTCCCACCAGCAAGGGACTCTAACATCCCTCCCCAGCCATTCCTCTTCCTCTGCCCCTGCACAGATGACCCAAGATGCTCTCTGTCATGCCTCCGTGTCCTCTTCCCACCCCCTCTCAACTGCTCCATTCAACCTCCTAGCCCTACTTCTCCAGTCAAACAGTCTTGACAAGGCCACTGTCCTCATCTCTCTGGACTTCCTAGGAACACATTCAACCTAGAGGACAACTTTGTCCTGGAAATGCATTTTCCTCCTTGGCCTGTGATACCACCCACCTTCATATGTGTGTGTGTGTGTGTGTGTGTTTTGTTTTCCCTGCCTTCCTGGCCTCTCCTGCTAAGTCTCCTCTACTGGCTTCTCCTATCCTTGGAACTTGGTCCCCAGACTCTCTTTTGCTTATCCATTCTCTCTCCTGAGATAATCCCTTCCAGTTTCATAACTCACAATACCATCTATCAATGACTCCCAAATATTTCTCTCTCCCTTGAGCTTCAGAGCCCACTTAACATCTCTCTGGTATCACAGGCATCTCAAACCTCATACTGCCCAAAGAGAACTCCTAATTCCTTCCCACTCCAAGGCCACACCTCCCAAAGGTATTCCTCTTAAGAAAAGGCCAACACCATCTATCCAGTTATTCAGAGCCTAAGACTCAGTAAATTCATGGTGGTTAAACGTATACTCTCTGGGCTAGGTCTGGGGCTCAGCAGCAGTGCACTGGCCTGGCATGTATGAAGCACTGGGTTTGATTCTCAGCACTGCATATAAATAAATAAAATACGGGTCTATCAACAACTTAAAAAAAAAAAAGTATACTCTCTGGAGTCGCCTCGGTTAAAATACAACTCTATTATTTATAGTTAGTAACCATATGACCTTGGGCAAATTAGGGCTCTTGTGAGAATTATATAAATAAATACTTAGAACACCAAATTCTAAGTATATTACCCCCGAGTGAGTGTACCACTGTTGTTCTTTAACTCCTCCTCTCTAATTTCCATCGGTAGGTGCTACTTTGAGTTCTACCATCATAACATCCAGCTTCTGTCTACTCCTTCATTTCTATCACTATCACATTCAGGTGGCCCTCACTCTACTACAGTTGCCTCACTTTCGCCTCCCTCTTCTGTTCTTGCCCTCACCATCCATTCTCTACAAAGCAGCCAGTGATTCTTCAAACCTCCAGTTTCTTCTCATTACACTGAAGTTTAAAATCCCAATTCCTTGCTTTGTCTTAAATGCCTTCAATTAGTCATTCACAATCCCACTCACACATTAGAACTTCTGTGGGGCTCTGAAAATTACTCATGCTTGGGCTCCATCTAGGTATGACACCAGTCAAAATTTAAAAGGCCACCAGCTGCTAGGGTTGTGGCTCAGCAATAGCATGTGTGAGGCACTGGGTTTGATTCTCAGCACCAATGTAAATAAATAAAGGTCCACTGACAACTAAGAAATATTTTAAATAAATAAATAAAAGGCCACCAGCTAATTCTTAGGTACAGCTAGGGCAGAACAACTTTGCTCTAAATGATTTGACTCTACCCACATCTCAAAGTCATGCTCCTATTCAAGCATGCATACCAGCTCATTGGTCTTTTTTCCTTTTCCTGTGTTTTAGATCTGTGTGTGTTTTCAGGAGTTTGCACCAACTATTCTTTCTGCCTGGAAAGCTCTTCTCACACTTCTCACAGTTGGGCCTTTCAGCCTCAGCTTAAACATTGCTCCCTAATGAGAACTTCTGACATCCATTTGAAAATAGATCACCACTTTTGATCAAAGCAAATATATGTGCTTTGATACAGATGTATTTACAAATACAAACACATTTGTAGTACCTTCCTTTCCCCAGGAAAATATAAGTTCCAGGAGAGCTTAAGTGAACCATTCTCTGCTATGTCCTTCATAGGATGTACATCAAGCAAACTGCAAGAATTCAATAAATACTTATTAAACAAACGAATGAATAGATAGGCATGTTTGAAAACTAGTTGCCTCAATGTCATCTTCCACTGCTTTAGAATAATATTTATTTCCTTATGTTTTGGGGCTATTTCCTCCAGAAGGGCCATGGGGCCCTAGCATCTCAACATGCTTCTTCTGTGAAGATGCTAAAGGACAGGAGTTATATCAATCCTAGACCTGTGGATAATCCTCAGCCCTCACATTAACCATAGGACTGTACATCGTTTACCATGTCCCCTCTGGTTTTTTGCTAGAAATGAGAACAAATTCAAATTGATTGGTTTACATGATACTGGATTTAGTTTCCTCATCAAGATTCTCATCAAGGACAGGAGAGAAGTGACACATAAAGACAGGAGAAAGCAAGAAAGAAAAAAATCTACCTACCAGACAGCCAACTTTGGCTAGGAAAGTTTTCCCATCTGAAGCTTGACACTGTAAAGGGCACTAAATTGAATACAGAATACTTCTCAAATAAACACAAAACAGCTTCATGGTTCCTTCAACCTAAAACATTTTCAGAAGTTGTAAAAGGAAATAAGAATATCTAAGTAACTGACCAAGACCATCGTTCACTGCCATGTGAGGTCTAGCAGTACTATCTTACCCCTAGAAGAGGAGGTATTACCTTTGGGACATCTCCTTTAATACCTGGGGGCAGCCGCAGGAGCCAGAAGTTCCTGTTTCTTAATAAGTTCTCCAAGTTTTCCAGGCGCCGCTGCAGCAGCCCATACTCCTGCAGCAGAGTCCCCAGCACGGCCCACTTGCCCTCCAGCTGGCTCCCAAGATCGGTCACTGTCTTTTCACAGCTGGCTAGCTTCTTCTCTGCTGTCCCTGTCCTGCCTTCTAGGTGTAGGAGACGTCGGCTGTGGACCTCCACCTTCCTCTCTATGGCCTGCACGGCGGCCACCACTGTCCACAGGGAGATGGCTGCAGTCTGTAGGTGTGCCTCATTTGCTGCTGGGGGTGTAGGAAGAGGAAGGGGCTGCAAGGATGTAAGGCACTCGGAATCCCATTCAGAAGTCTGTGTGCAGTGGAGAGATGGGACAAGACATTGAGTGTTAGAAGGAACTCTTGATTGCAAAGTACAATCTGATAAGAATTGCTTAATTGTCCATCTGAGATTAATCTAAATACAGTTTTAGTGTGCTGTTGTATCAGTCTCATTGTTCTGGAGCTCATTGACATCAAAAGCCGGGAGGCCATTTTGGTGGTTCAGGAATGGAATTAGAAAGACTGTGAATCAAACTGGCTTTTAAGACCAAGTCTGGCACATTTCTTCTAATATATGACCTGGAGGCTCAGGTGGCTGCTGCTTTAGCTATCTCTGGAAAAGGCAAAACTGCACAAGGATTCTTCCAAGTTTCACTGAGCATAATGCCCTGGAACAAATCCCTTATAAACTTATGCTCTCGCCCTGCCCATCACCCTGTTTACACATCACAACCATACCATTCAGGAAGAAGTAAAAAAGGTGGGGATGTTGAGCCTAGAGAAAAATATGATGGCTGTTTTCAAATATTTGAGGATTATAAAACAGAAGGCAGAATGGACTTGTTTAATCTTATATTGTGTTACTCAAAAGGGCAGATTAGAGCCAACATGTGGAAATTTTCAGGCAAACTCTGACCTATAATAAATAATTTTTGAACTAGATCTTTTCACAAAAATAACAGGCTGCCCTATCACTGAATATACTTTGAAAAAAGAGTGGTATAAAAGGAAGAAATTCCTACAACAAATAGGAGGTTGGACTAGGATAACCTCTGCAAAGCCTTCTAATTCCATGAATCTGAACCCTCTTTCTGGTTCACATACTACCATATTCTCATTTCACCTGTCCTGTGAACTACTAACAGGCTAGTCTAGTTCAGTAGGGACAACACTGCCTGGTGCTCTCCAGACATCTTTTCACATTCCACAAAGCCACCACAAACTTTTAAGCTAATGGCTAAAAATCATTTGTAGTTAAAACGCATGTTGATTCAGTAGGTCTGGGAGGAAAATGGAGATTCTGCATTTTAAAAAAGCTCCCAGACATGCTGCCTGATTTCAGGGCACACAGCAGTAGATGGAAAGACTTGCTGGCACTGCAGACTGAGGGCACTGCAGTTCCCTCAGTCTCAGGAGACACATGGCTTCCTACTTTGAGAAACCAATTTGAATAATTGGACCTAAACTCTCTCAACTTTATCTTTTTCTTCATATCACTTCCCACTTACTCATCAGTAATTCCCTCCCAAGGAGAAAAGTTTCATCCTATTTAAAACCAGTCTCTCCACTTACACTCTCAATGTCAGCCAATCCCTTTCACCTTTTTAGGTACATTTGTTTCTTTTATCATCAACATGCCAATCTCTACAGATTCTTCTCCATTAGATAGACCTGTCCTGTTCAGTACCAGTCACTGGCTACTTGTGGCCACTGAGCACTTGCCACTGATTTGTGCTGTGAGTATAAAATACTCATGAGATTTTGAAGACTTGATAGAGAAAAAGCTGTTAAAAATCTCATGAGTGATTTTTGTAATACTGATTACTGTTGAAATAATATTTTTCATACATTGGATTATTATTATTATTTTTTTTTGATAAAAGGAAAAACAGGCCCAAGAGTAAAGATGGCATTCCCCTCTGCTCTATTCTCCACCCCATTGCTGCTGCTCCCTCTTTTATCTCTTCCTTTTTTCACTTTCAAGCCACTTCTCCGTGGACCAGTCTGGCTCCAATACACTGCTGTCCTTGAGGGGGCCAAAGGCTTCTTTAGGTGGCAAATCCAAGGAATACTTTCCAATCCTTCTGCTACTGACCATTCCCTCTTCTTTCTAAATGGCTGTGTGCGGGAGCTGTCCCGGCTGCCTCTGTGCCCTGGCAGCTGGTAGAGTGCCGGGCCCACTGCAGGCCCGCAGTGAAGCGGGGCTCGCGCGGCTAATGCCACGCTCCGACAGCCGCAGCCCTTCACGGCGAAGCCTCCCGCAGGGCCTCAGCTCGTGCTGGGGCCGTCGTCACGCAGTCTGCGGAGGGCACACCTGGCTCCACCCTCCCCGCCGCGCAGGTGGCTGCACTGGGGGGACTTGGTGACGACAGCTCCTGCAGTTGTGAGAACGGCAGGCGGACCACAAAAAACACCCAAACCCAAGCGCACTCCCCGTTTCTGCAGGCTGACACCCAACGGGGCAGCCTCTCTCGGCTCCAGATCTCCCACCGGGGATACCTGGGCTTCCGCCCCGAGGACGCGGGACCTGCGGACCCCAGGGAGAGCTGCGGTCCCCAGGGAGAGCCTCGGACCCGCGCTCGAGCCCGGCTTCCTGGCGGCGGCCCCCGAGCGGGTTGCGGCCACAGAGCCGGGCGCGGGCGACGTGGCGGCGGGCCGAGGAGGAGCCTGCGCGGCCGCGGCCCACCCGCCTCCCCCCCAGCCGGGGCCCTCCACGCTCGCAGCCCTCGCGCGCCGGCCTTACCGGAGCCGCGGCCGCCTCGGCCATGGCCCTGCGCTGCCCGGCCCGGCCCGGAGTCGACGCCGCTGCCGTCCCACGAAGTCCCCACCGCCCGGTCTTCTCCGAAGGAAGCGCCGGCCCCGCCCTGCCTTTCCCCACACACAGGCTCGCGCGGACGCGGAGCTGGTCGCCAGGCAGCTTCCCGCAGCGGTCCGCAGCGGTCCGCAGCGGCGCTTTGTGGGCAGCGAGTGCGCTGGGAGCCTCGCCGGCCTAGACGCGCCGCAGGCTCTAGCCGCCCGACCGCCGCAGCCAGCGCGCCCCCTGGCGGCCCCCGCGGCCAGCACGCCCCTCCCGCGGGTCCGCTTCTGCGCGGGTTGGTTGGCAGTGCCCAGCCGATGTGCGGGCGATCTCCGCATGTTCCCCCCCGAGAAAGTCCAACAGTTGGTAGCTTAGGGCTCGGTTGCAAACCAGGGATCGTCCTGGGGAGTGTTTTTCATGATGAAGTTCCAGCTGAGAAACAGAGCTTCTGCTGGATGACCTTCCGATTTAGCAAGGTTTGAAAACGGGAAGAGTGTGAGAGTCAGGTGGGGATAAAGCCGGAGTGAGTTTGTGGGTAGAACAATGACGAAGACGTGTCATTTGCAGAAATTACAGACGTGGCTGCCAACGTGAAGCGGTTCACATCTTACATGACCCGAGTTGGCACCAAATTTATCCTCTCTGGATTATTGACTCTCTGGGGCTTGGTCTGGAAGGGAAATTCTTGAGGTTGGCAGAAATAAAGCTTGTGGTTATGGTTTGTTGGGTCTGTGCAAAGGAACTGGTGAAAAGAAAGTTGTTAACCATGGAGGTTGTGTGTTTAGCAGTGTGTTATAGTTACATAGCCACATAAACCTGAGTTTCCAGCACATTTCTCCTTTCAAACTGGCATGACTCAAAATCCTCTCAAACCTGTATTGCAACAAAAGAAATCAAGTCAATGCCAGTAGCAGTAAATGTATCTGTAATTCATGGAAGTTATGAGAACCTCCTGGTACGACACCTGCTCTTGTATTAAATTTAGACTATAGCTACTTACGCAGTATGCAATTTGAGGCATACCTAAGTATACATCTTGGTCAAATGGAGAATATTTGTCAGGTAATATTACCATTCTCTGAATCTGAAATATCACCATAGAATGAACTTCTAAGATTCAAGAAAAAAATCTGAAATTTCTTTCCAAGAAAATTGTTTTATATTTTTATTATTAAAAATGTAATAGTTGTAATTTAAAGGTCCAACCTTTAAGAGCAAGAGCAGTAATTTCAAAGCCCTGTTAACTGTTAGATGCTCCTATGATTATTAAGCAGGAATATTTGCATCACTAACAAGACACTTTCAGCTGAACTTGATGGGGAAGCAAAACTAGCTCTGCCTATTTGATATGGTAGTATTACCACTAACTTATTAAATATTTCTTCCTCTAAAAGGAATTTATGGCAAAGACTTTCTTCCTACTTTACTTTTTTAATATTTATTTTTTAATTGTAGTTGGACACAATACCTTTATTTTATTTATTTTTAGATGGTGTTGAGGATGGAACCCAGGGCCCGCAAGGCAAGCACTCTACCCCTGAGCCACAGCCTTAGTCCCCTAGTTTACTCTTGGTCTTCATTTCTGTATTTCATTAAGCAGTTTTGTGAACTAAAGTTTCATATATTGTTTGAAGAAAATACATGACATTTTTAGAAGCAGATTTAAGATTGTTGTACTCTTATTTTTAATTTCTAATATTTTTGCTGCTATGCCCAGTTACTAGAGAAAAATTTGTCCTTAAAATTGGGATCTAGAAATGTGACAATGGAACAATTTAACTGGTCAAGTTAATGAAATAAATCAGTTTCTACCTGCAACTTGGTTTTCGTTGCTTGCACACTAACTACAGCATCGTCCCTGAAGCAGAGTCAATGGAGATCTTTTCAACAGGAATTGTGGAAAATATATGTGAACTTTTTAAGTATCAATTTATTCAACAAATTCATACAAACTTCTTTCTCTGTAGCAATCATTGGTTATTAGTAAATCTTAGAACAATGATAATCTTTGCTGGAAAATACAAAGTAAAAACTTTCATCTTATCAGCCTTTGAAACCTGTAATAACTGCTATTCCATCTTATGAAATATCTTGCAAATGTATGTAGCAAGACAATTTCAAAATCTTTTGTGTATCACAGAATTTCTTATAAGATAAAGAAAAACTATGGAAATGTTTCTATTTTTAGGCAGTAATTATCTATTAAAACCAATGTAAGCTAAAAACATTTTCTGAATATAAAACTGAAGATGTGAGCAAACTATAATGTATGTGTGCTCATACCCTTTCTCATATTTACTTCGTGGACAATGAGAATTGTGTGCATTTCTCCTTATTGAAGAGAAAATATTCCACAAATATTTTTTGAGGTCAGATTTATTACATGTGTGATATCCAGGACAGTTGAATTTGTCATTAATATTCAATGTGGCCAAATCTTTGATTCTTCATATTGAACTGTGCTATATGCTAGATGCTGTGGTAGCAAATTTTTTTTAAAATCCTTTCCCAACACTATTTTCTAATTCTCTTAGAAACAGTGTTTCACTCTTTTCTTTTTTAATACCTTTATTTTATTTACTTATATGTGGTGCTGTGGATTGAACCCAGGGCCTCACACGTGCTAGGCGAACACTCTACCACTGTGCTACAACCCCAGACCCTGTGGTACAAATTTAATAATTAAAAATTTCAGGGGCTGGGGATGTGGCTCAAGCGGTAGCAAGCTCGCCTGGCATGCGTGCGCCCAGGTTCCTCAGCACCACATAGAAACAAAGATGTGTCCGCCCAGAACTAAAAAAAATAAATAAATATTAAAATTCTCTCTCTCTAAAAAAAAAAATTCATGCATAAAGGATATAAATAAAAAAGTTTTAGAAATATTTTCAAAAAGAAATCAATATGTAAAATTAAAAACTTGGGGGAAATCTCAAAAAATTTGTTCTCTTTGCTAGAAAATGGTTATCAATATATAGTAACTATTTCCACAAGCTTTAAAATACATGAATGTTTACAGATACCAAAAGTGAGTAACTCATATTAAAAACACCCTGTAAATCCATTGTTTAGAGAATAGATTTGGGGTGCCTTATTTTTATCAACACTTTCTACTGTTCTTCAATTCTCCATATTTTTAATCATGTCATATTTCAAACATGACTTATCATGTATATATTTCATGTGTTTTTTTCTACTTGTGAAATTTGAGGTAGCCAAGTTAATATTCTGCTTTTATTTTCCTAACTTGTGAAAAATTACCAAATAGTTATTTTAAAAAATTCGTAGACTAAATGGAATTGAATAATTAAACATTAGTTTCTAAAGATTATTTGTTTCCTGGGGCTGGGGTTGTGGTTCATGGTATAGCACTTGCCTGACACATGTGAGGCACTGGGTTCAATCCTCAGCACCACATAAAAATAAATAAATAAAATAAAGATTATATCCATTTACAACTAAAAATTATTTTTAAAAAGGTTGTTTCCTGTTATTAATAAATTGCACCAAATAATTTTATAGTAATTACAATTATGATGTCTGATCTTTATTATATAACATTGTGGTAGATTTTTTTTTTTGGTGGTGGTGGTACTGGGAATTGAATCCCAGAGGTGCTTTACCACTGAGCTACATCCTCACCCCTTTTTAGTTTTTATTTTCAGGCAGGATTTCATTAAGTCTCTCAGGTTGGCATCAAATACACAACCCTCCTGCCTCAGCCTCCCAAGTCACTAGTACTATATGAGTGTACCACCACACCTACCCTGTGGTGGCATTTATATTTTTATAAATATCTGTAGGCTCAGAGGGGCTGGGGATGTGGCTCAAGTGATAGTGTGTTCACCTAGCATGTGTGAGGCACTGGGTTCAGGTCTCAGCACCACATAAAAATAAAATAAAGATGTTGTGTCCACCTAAAACTAAAAAAATAAATATTTTTTTTAAAATATCGTAGGCTCAGAAAAGATGTTCTTTCTAAAATTATTCAAATATCACATTCTTTTTTTTTTTTAGAGAGAGAGAGAGAGAGAATTTTTTTTTAATATTTATTTTTCAGTTTTCGGCAGACACAACATCTTTGTTTGTATGTGGTGCTGAGGATCGAACCCGGAGCCGCACGCATGCCAGGCAAGCGCGCTACCGCTTGAGCCACATCCCCAGCCCCTCACATTCTTAATGTTCATATTGTCAATGTATTTTAATTGCAAGTTCTTGCTTATTACATAACATACCTTTCATAATCTTTAATACTTATTATAGCAATACTTGTAATGTGTGTAAATATGTATATATACACACATTCATATGTATTTCAACTGTTAGAATTTCAGTATATAAAGCACATCATCAGATTTTGCACTTCAAATTACTTATGGAATTTAGAATACCTAAATTTAATAGTAGATATTCAATGGTACAGGCCTGTAATCCCAGCAACTCAGGAGGCTGAAGCAGGAGAAATACAAGTTCAAAGCCAGCCTCAGCAACTTATCAAGAAATTCAAATAAATAAATAAAGGGTAGGGTTGTGGCTCAGTGGATGAGTGCCCCTGGATACCACAAATAAATAAATACACTCAGCTATTAACAACAAATCTTCATATTCTCTCCATCTGAACAAACATGTGAATAGCATGTCACTGAAGATTGTTGCACTAAAGAGATGTGATGGTGATCTACACATTCACATGTCATTATTCACAGACAGGCTGAAGGATGCCATAAATGGCATTTAATTATTCCGCCTTTCAATGGCCAAGGCTGAAGCAAACGCTGAAGATCAAGATCTGGCCAAACACTGTTCCCAAAGTCCAGTGTCAGTGCATCCCTACTACATGTGTGGGTATCTCTAATCTACGAGTACTTGAAAGACCTAACAATTGTGACAGTGATCAGTACTACTGTGGATAAACATTTCTAAGTGATTATTTTCCATCTAGACTGAAACTATGGATGTTACTTTAAAAGTGTTTACATTTTTTTGTTTATTTGATGTGAGTGGGTTGAAATTGCCTTGTATTTTTATTACCAATGTTCATCAAAATTCTAACAGTGACACCTTTTTTGTCTTTTGCATTACATTTATTATTCTTTTTCAGTTATTTACAGAATATTTAAATATACAGGGACATATAAAGAAGACAAAGCCCACATCTAGTTATAGTATCCAAAGATATTACCATTAGCATT